CTAGAATTAAATATTAAAGTCGAATATTTAAGGCTTTTTTCCCTACCCCTAAATCTGCTACTTTATTTTTTCTACATAAAAGTTTTGTTTGAATTTTTAAAATCCTAATTAAAAATTTAGTCTATTTTAACGTATCATTTAAAAATTTTAGTCAGATTATTCTCTTAACTTTTTTCTGTAAAAATTTGAGTGTTATATTCTTTTTTTCCCCTTAAAGAAATACATTGAGTGATACAGAAATAAAATTTAATTCATATTAACATGTTGCTTATTTAATGCTAATTGCTAATGGATAAATAGAAAACTCAAAGTGCCTAGGTGATTAAGAGTCAGGACTTCTAGTGGGTGTTAGTTTTGTTACCAACTTGCTTTGTGGCTTTAAGAAGAATATAACTACTAAGATTTAGTGTTTATACATACACAAAATAATTTATCAGAAGCATTTGATAAAAGGCAAATTAAAGAGTTCTTTTTGCTTACATATAAAATCAGTATTTTAACCATTTTAAAAGGACTTTATTTCATTTGATTTTGTAAAATCATTTAAAGGCAAGAAGGTGGTAGTGGTTATCCTTTTTATTAGTGGGAAAGTCATGAGCTCCAGAGCCAAAGTAGTAGAAATTTGAAAGCCTGTCACGACTCACTGTATAATCTTGGGCAAGTGTCTTAAAACTCTGACCTTTTGTTTCTGCATCTGAAAACTGGTTATCATAACCGCTAATATTTTTTGAATATGTACTGTATGCCAGACAGTGTGCTAAACACTTTATATCATTATTTAATTTATACAGTAACCTTATGAGGTAAAAACACTACTACTTTATCCCCCTTTCACAGGTGAAGAACCGAGGTGCAGAAAAATAGGTAACTTGATCAAGGTCACCTAACTAAATTCAGGATGTTAAAATGGTTGGAGATGATATATGTAAAGCAGGGTCAGACCTTGACTAAGTGTTCAGTAAGTCATTAAGCATTATTACTGATGCTGTTATAAAGAAATCAAGCACATTTAGGTCTGTCTTGGCTTGTAAATAATCTATGAGCTGCAGATTAAATCCTGCTTCAGACATCTGTTCCCCAAAACCCACTCCAGAATTCTAGAGTAAAATTTCAAGATTATAAACAATTTGCAGATAGGGAACCATGTCTTATAATTTTTTTTTTTTATATATTCCATTGTTCTTAGTATAATTTACATTTGAACAAATACTGATTATTATGGATTTTTCTTGAAAGGACAAAAATGGATGTATTTATAAATAAAAAATGGCCATTTTCTGGAAAGTATTTTATTTCCCCCAAGGGCTAATTCTTTTTTTTCCACCATTCTTTAAAAAGATGCCGTTGAAGAGTAATTTTAGGACTTTCATTCTGAGAGTCTTTTGTCTTCCTACTGGTATAAGAAGACAAAATGAGCAAACTTTAGAGAAGGCTGACCTCTCAAGAATTTTTGTGTGGGGAATTACTGAGGCATGAAATGCCATAAACCATTTTTTCTCTGTTTTATTTTTTATGTATTTTCAACAAGTTGTACTTTTAGTGAGTAAAAGTTTGCAATTTTTTATACTAGGCCAGATTCCTTCTCTTTAAGATGTAATGAAGTTTAAATTCAACCTCAAACTGAGTGCATTTTAATAAAGGTTGCCTAGTCTATTTTTGGCTTGATTTACCTCAAACCATGCTTTTACAGTAACAAATTTTATAATTTGTATCCTAGTTTTTCAAAACAATGTGTAGTTTTATTCTGACTATCAAACCAATATATCTGTGAATGATGTTTACATCAATAAACTTGTCTTTATTAGAATACAGTTTTGTGATATCTTGCCAAATAATCAAATATTAACTTTTGGAGCTAATGACTTCTTTCATAGAAACTTGAAATTCCAGTGTTTCTTATTTTGCCTGCAAGTAGCAATTGAGAAGTGGGAAGAGATTGCCAAATAGACAAGTATGAGATATTTTTCTTTCTTTATTATCTTCCTGTGGTTGGTCAGAATTTTTTTCTTTTATATGCCCTTTAGAACTCTGATGCTTTGGTCTACTCTGTATCTTTGTCTTTTTCTTCACTCTGTATTCAAGGGCCTAAAGTGGTGCTTGACTCATAGTACGTCTCAAATGTCTGTTGAATGAGGGAATAAAGGATCTCTTGTTCTGATCTGGACATCTCTAGTATGCATTTTGCTTACTCATCAAATATATTGTGAGGGGTGGGCATTATCCACTGGAGTTTGCCTCATCCTCTGGACTCTAATACAATATGCTGTTATTTATTGTTACAGCTATGCTTTTGTAAGGGTAAGAGGGAAAGAACTTATAAACGAAGAAATCAATGTAGTCTAGAAAAGGCTACTTTGCAGAGACAGAGAATAGATTAATGGTTGCCTAGAGTTGAGGCTTGAAGATAGAACAGAGAATGACTGCAAATGGTCAAGAGGAATCTTTTTTGGGTGAAAGAAATGTTCAAAAATTGGACTGTGGTGGGCCAGCCCGGTGGCGCACTGCTACAGTGCGCCGCTTGGGAGCGCGGTGGCGCTCCCGCCGAGGGTTCGGATCCCACATACAGACTGGTTCCCGCTCACTGGCTGAGCGAGGTATGGGAGCAGCGCCGAGGGTTGCAATCCCGTTGCCGGTCCCGGCCCGGTACGGGCATGACACTGAGGGTTGCGAATGGGAGCAGCGCCGAGGGTTGCAATCCCGTTGCCGGTCCCGGCCCGGTACGGGCACGACACTGAGGGTTGCGATCCGTTGCCGGACATGAAAAAAGACAAAAAAAAAAAAAAAAAATTGGATTGTGGTGATCGTACAGATCTGTAAATTTATTAAAAATAATTGAATTATTAAAATGAGCACATTTTATGGTATGTGAATTATACCTCAGTAAAACTGTTTTAAAAAAGTAAAACCAAATAGGGAGTTACAAAAATTCAATTTTTTGCTAATTAGAAAACTAGGATGATGTATTTTCTTTATTTCTTACCTTGAATATGATTTGTTGCTATTGACAAATGATGAATTTACCTGAAACCAGTTTTTCTACAAAGTATTTCAGGACAAAGAAATGTTAATTTTTTTTTTTTTTTTAAGATGACCGGTAAGGGGATCTTAACCCTTAACTTGGTGTTGTTAGCACCATGCTCTCCCAAGTGAGCTATATAGGGATCTGAACCCGTGGCCTTGGTGTTATCGGCACCACAGTCTCCCAAGTGAGCCAAGGGCTGGCCCAGAAATGTTAATTTTATTCTCTAGTAAAATACGTTCTTTTCTGGTACCAGCTTGGAACTTATAAGGCTCTTAATATGACATGTTGTTTCATCTAGTTTCCTTATTCCCTTTTACAGACAGTTTGGATTATCTCTAAAACCATAAAAAAAAAAGGGGGTGTAAATTATTCCACATTGCTGATAGTTTGTTTTGCTGGGTTGCAAAGTTAGAATTTACTAGTTTGTTTCCCATTGCCTTTTTAAAGGATTGGTTATATAGTTTTTGTTCGTTTGTTTTTTAAGCAAATTATTTATGGGCCCTTTCCTTCCCCATGTTTATCCTTGGTCATTTTTTTCTTTTCTTAGATTATTTGTATTTTAAAATTACTCGTTGGGAGAAAAACTTTTTTAGCATGAAACTGTCACAGTATTCTCATGCAGATTTTTGTATATTCTTAAGATATTCTGTATGTGCCCTCTCTAAGGGAGCATTAAAGTTCTATTAGAGAGACCTTTAAAAATTTGATTATTTCCTGACAAGTGATCTGTGAAAGCTGTCCCACAAGTGTAATAAAAGCCAAATAGTCTAAAGTTATAATCTAGATTGTTGAGATCAGTTAACTCAGATCTGACAGTATCAAGATTGGCAAGAACATGAGGACCTAGAGATACTGTTGTAATAAAAGCCACTTGGAATTTAAGAATTAATTGAGGTGGCTTGGTTAGTTATATCATCATTTCACTTATTTTGTAACTTGAAACTATTAGATGATGATGATGATAATTGTTATTGTTACTGTTATAATTGACATATAAAGTGCTTGCTATATTATATACCAGACACTGTTAGAAAGGCTTTTCTTACAGTAACTCATTTAATTCTCACAATAGCCCTATGAAGTAGGGACTACTATTATCCTCTAACAGATAAGGAAAATAAGTCACATAGAAGTTAACCTCACTCAAGTGTAGACAAACTTAGACAGACAGTATTCAGAACCACTATACCATTATGATAGGAGTGGTTTCCTTTCCTTTTTCTTTTTTTACAAGAGAAAACAAAATTCTTCATGCTGGAAGGATTAAAAAATATTTAGTATAAGAAGATGAGAATTAATACTTTAGTTCTAGAAAGAAAAATATGTTCCACCCTTCTTTATTTTTCTTCCTTTTTTTCCCTTTATCTTCATTTCTTCTTTGTTTCTATCATTCTTCATTCTTTATTTTTCTGAATCAGTGTTATTTCCAACAATTGACATAGTCTGATAACTACTGATTTTTTATAGAGCACTAGGCTGATAGTTCAAACAATGTTATTTGAATTTAGTCACTATCTTTTATTAGGATTTCTTGTATGTGTCTGATAGTTTCATTAGTTGTCCATTTGGACTGGTTGCACATTTCTATGGGAAATCTTCAAGCTTTGTCTGTAGCTTAAAAGATGTGGAATGTAAATGCACTTCACATTTCTATCTTCTTTTTGAGAAATCTGTATTTTTATAACTTAAAACGTGAGCTATAATTTCACATGTAAGAATGCTTATGGTTGTTGACTAATTAATGTCACAAGTATCACATAAGCAAAAACATTTTAATGAATTGACCTCTATTGAATTGAAGTCATGGTTTTATAAGTTTTAATTGATAAAATAGGAAAAAGGTTGTAAACTTTTAAATAAGCTTATTAAACAATAAGTTCTCTCTCACAGTATGAGTATGTTTTGGGGAGAATGTTCAAGATATTTTTTTTTCATAAATCATTCATTTTCCGTTCTTTGTTTTTATTTTATTTTTCAGGATTTTGGCCCCCAACAGTAATTACCAAGATGTTGAGACCCTCTATAACTTCCTAATCAAGTATGAGGTATGAGAAATATTTCTAAATGTTTACTGCATTTCCACCATAAACAAGTTTTAATATAAATAAATATAGGAGGTGTTCTAAAATGTAATGGAAAGCCATGTAACTGATATATATATTTTTTTCCTTTTTGTCTTTTTTTGTGACCGGTAACGGGATCGCAACCCTCAGTGTCGCGCTGATATATATATTTTTTTCCTTTTTGTCATTTTTTGTGACCGGTAACGGGATCGCAACCCTCAGTGTCGCGCCCGTACCGCGACCGGCAACGGGATCGCAACCCTAGGTGTCGTGCCTGCACAGCGCTCAACCAGTGAGCGGACCTGTCTCTATATGGGATCCGAACCCTCGGCAGGAGCGCCGCCGTGCTCCCAAGCGCCGCACTCTACCGAGTGCGCCACCGGGCCGGCCCCTATAATTGATATTTGTTGATACATTGATACATTCTTTTTTTTTTTTTAAATTTTTTTTATTTTGTCAATATACAATGTGGTTGATTATTATGACCTATCACCGAAACCTCCCTCCCTCCTCCCTCTCCCCCTCCCACCCAAGAATGTCCTTTCCGTTTGCTTGTTGTAACACCTTCAAAGAAATTGTAGTTGTTATATCTTCTCCCCCCCCGTTTTTTTTTTTTGGTGTGTGTGTGTGTGTGTGTGTGTGTGTGTGTGTGTGTGAATTTTTTTATGTATTTTTAGCTCCCACCAATAAGTGAGAACATG